GTGCCTTTATTTGTCAGCTCTGACAAATAAACTCTGGTGTGTATCTCTGCCTGGTCTCCATATTTTATTTCTCACTCACCCATCTCCCAATTCTTCACTTTCCTTTCAGATACCAGTTAGGTACTCCTCTAGTTCTTGCCTTATTTCTTGATGGGTTCATAGGTGTTATGTTGTATGAAAATAATTTCTTGAATTTAATACATAAAAGAGGTCCATGGGAAGATCAGTGCCTATCTTGTTTCATGAGCCATAGATTATGTTTAAACTAATTCTTCTCAACTAAGAGAATGAGAGAGGGAAGAACAAAGGTTGCAAGGTTAGGATAGAGAGAAAAAAAATATGAATGTAGCCATTGTGTCTCAAGGGCATTGAAGCTTATACTTAGTTATTAATTTATTTAGTATCATTTTATGTAAAGCAAGTGAGATGGTTCATGAGGCTAAGCAGAAAGGGGTAACAAAGCTCAAAGGATATATGAAGATACATATTTCAGGCTATTCACTAATTTTTGTGATCATTTTCATTTCCACAAATAGTAACTTTGAGAATCAATGATATACCAAAAGTTGAGACATGACTCTTTTGAACTTCTAACCTCCCATGCTAACACATTCCCTAAAGTCTCTGTGGATTAGTTGCTTTATTTGAAAATTGAGACTATAATCCTTATCTTTCAGGGGATGGTAAGAAATCAAGGTAATATATGCATAGTGCTTAGGGCAGGGTTTGGGCTGAACAAGTAGTCATTGTTTTTACTGCATTATTCAGCATTATTCAAATGAGCATGATATTTAGCCTGACTTTCCTGATGTCATAGAACTAGAATCAAAGACTGAGGATAAAGGGATTTAAAATAATATGATATGGGGAACCATCCCTATAATCCCAATAAAGCTAAAGAGAATTACAGGCGTGACACTCCTTCTAGGGATCTTTAAGCAAGGACTATACCTATGCATATGTTTGTATTTTAATTCTCAAGACAATGTGTACATTCTTAATGGGTGATGATCTCTCCCTTGCTTTTCTATTTCTTGTTTTTGGTTGCATTCTCCAACAATGCAATGAGACAGAATAAATCTTCCTATTTACCTAGGCTGGTCCTGCTAACCACCTGTAATCCCTGGAGAACCCTTCTCCAGTCAAAGACATTCTGTCTGTCACAGATCCCACAAATATCTGTTGAGTACCTGTTCTCTGATTGATGTTGTGTTATGTGCCTGGGATCCGGCAGTGAATAAATCAGATGCAGAAATATCAAATGACAGTGGGGCAAAGGAAGCTTCAGTTTTTAAGCAAATCTTCAGCCTACTGGAGTGTACTATAGTTTTTCTCTATAGAATGATAAAGGGATGCATACTTCTCTCCCAAAGAGGGGATGGCATCAAGAGAATATTTCATAAAGGTTTGGGTGCCTACTAAAGGGGAAGTGGATTTGATGTCCGATGAAGCTGAATACACTGAGTCATCCTAGATATAAGTTTAATGGAAAGTGAGCATCACATCATGGAATTGTCTAGGAATGTTACAAGATAGGAAAATGGAAAGAAAATACAATATGTTTTGGTTCAATAAGTTTATCATCATGATCAACAACCACATTATTATTGTCATTTATTGTTACCAATAATTATCACAGTGTTCATTATCAAGACCACTAAATTCCGATGTGGGGCACCTCTAATCAAATGAAAGATAATGCAAGGTTTAGAAAAACTAGAGCAAATCTATTGTTTGGAAATAGGAATTTTGCGGGTATGCATGGTTAGGGAGCTTCAAGTCTCCCTTCTATTGTCTAGCTCCCTTTGTTGAGCAACCTATATCCATATTTTAGGCTTTCTTGAGAACACATCTACAAGTATTTAGTCATGGGATTCATGCCTTCCTACTTGGAGCTGGTGTGACTTGTCTTCTCTGGTGATAACACAGATGAGTAAACAAATATAAATTCTGTTCTTCCATGAGGAAAGGATGAGAAATCTTCATGCTTGTGTCTCATCCTCCTTTACTTCTGGGAAATGAAATGGTAGAAACACAATGGTCAACATGGACCAGCATTCAGAAGCTGCCTCCTGAGGGTCAGGGTCCAAGTGGGCTCCCTTGTAGGGTGCCTCAGAGATGGGGGTAAGATGAGCATTTCAGCATGGAGTGTGATGGAGTCCCTTTTAGAATTAAGGAACCTGCATTCTTTTTGAGGACTATGAGGTTTCAGATACTGCATCTGGTTTTTCTTGATTCTTATCTGAGAATCTTATGCAGGAAAGAAAATCTCTGCCTTGGCTCAAGCTTTGGCATATTTGCCCAGAGAGTTTTAACTGGATTCTGGGATTATACAAAAAGTCAAAAGTAATTTGGATGGTTTCCCAAAGTTACAAAAATATGAGGGAAACAAGTCAGGGAATCTTACAGTAAATTTCTCTGTTATTTGCTAGTTTAAAGAGCATGAATTCTTATTTTATGGAATGTTACTGTTCCAGTCCAACCCCACAGTAGGTTGATACCATCAATTCTGTACGAAGATTATACAATGAATGAAGGTCAGCTGCCTAAACAAAAATAAATTAAAAAATACATAAATAAAATTATTAATTTTTTCAAATAATAAATAAATAAACTTCTAATTTTAAAGCCTCTATTATAGCAGTTTTCAAGCTTTTTGGTTTCAGAACCCTTTATATTTTAAAAATTTTTTACAAACCTTAAGGGATTTAAATATATATGACATGTAGCTCTGTAGGGCAACTATTGTAGAAGTTAAAACTAAAACACTTTAAAAGATTTATCATCAGTTTATTATATCCATAACAATAATAAAATCATTATATGTTAATATGAATGTGTTAGCTTTTCATCATGGTGACAAAACACCTGAGATAAAGCAGTGAAGTTTGCAGGTTTGTCAGTTTTAAATCAATATTCAGGGTCTGAAAAAGAATGTCAACTTCTTTGTCATACTTTGTAGTTCTTATTTCTGTCACTCTTTGCTTTTAGAAAAAAAAATAAATGGATTGGAGGAAAGTTGGAAAATTTTGAAAACTCTTGTGACTGAACCTAAGGATGGAGGGAGAGAAAGTTTGGGAAGGTTGGGAAGCTAAGATGGGTGGGGTTCTAGAAAGTAGGGATGAATACTATTGAGAGGTTGAAGAGTTTATAGAAGGGA